AATGAAGATACCACTACCTAGTGACTAAGAAATGGAAAAGTTTCAAGCAGACGTGAAGACTCATCTTTATGATGATACATAAATGGAAGGCACATAGGTTTTACAGGAGGAATAGGCTTGTTAGGAAATGAGCACAAAATTCATATTCTGTGAGACTAATGCAATGAATTTTAGAAGAAATGTATTGCTTCCTAACATAAGCACAAGTAACATAATTACTGCCTACAGTGGTCATTTCACACCTTCAATATCCACATACTCTCTAGTGGAAACAGTATTTAGGCTTATGAGAAAAATGTGACAAGAAAAGGAGCTGACAGTGTTGCTTTGATATTGTATAATTAAATGACTGGAATTTTTTACCCTTCCGTGGATGTTCTAATATTGTGACATGGATGGCACAATGGGAAGTGGGGGTCATGTGAACTCTGCATTTCCTCGAGTGACGTCACATACGCCCACTCCTTCCACCAGTATGCAGCGCTCGGTAAACATCCCCTCCCCGTGGTGTATCTTCATGCCATGCCAAGTAGAGTCAAAGTGAGCCGAGCCAAGCCAAAGCACGCTAGTTGCTACACAGCAGTAAACAACTCTCGACAGTGTCGCTAAGCAACACCTGTAAACAAGGCGACTAGGCAACAGGGAAGCGAGGCATTATCCCATTGTCCAGCGGAGGATTTATAAGAGAACTACACTGCCTAAGGAGTCAGTTGAAATGTAGCCGCTGCCAGAGGCAGTTGGAATTGGAACAGTTGCCAAGTTCAGTTGTAGCAGAAAGAATACCGGAAAATGTGATTAGAACTGATAGTGTGAGAAGGTATTGGAAGTGTGTAATACAGTGACACTGGTATAGCGCCCGTATTGTACTGTGAATAAGTGAAGACTACTGAAGACAGAGTGAATAGATTAGTGCGTAGGGTTTGTAAATTGTGTAAACCCGTAACAGTGTTATAATTAATTGTAGCCAAGACTTGTAGGTTGTTAAATAAACCAATTAACAATCTGAACGGAGTCTCAGTGGCGAAATATGTTACAATATCTTCTGTGACTCTTGCAGGGCACAGAATATGAACTACTGTGATTTCTTCGAAACATGACTGCTGTAAGAAAAGGTTTTGGATCTGTGATAACAGTACTAAGCCAGAGTTAACTCACATATCTGGAATCAATAAGAACATGGACCTCATAAATCAGCAGTATGGATGTGAAGCTATTAATGACTGGAGGGAAGTTTTTAGAAATACCAGATGTATTCTTGCCCCTTCATAGTTGATTTTGGCTGATTCTAGTTTTTGTTGTTGTTCAAGAAATGGATAGAATTTTTGAGATCCTGATAAGAGAGAAAATATCTTGCTGCAACCACCCCATCTTGGAATTAGCATTCTGTCAGTCAAAGCCAGCAATGACTGATAACAGGAAAACCTGTAATGGCTAGTTCCTCCTCTAGAACAATGTTTCTTCACATGAAGTAACTGAAACAACAGAACTGTAACAATAAATATGAAATTACTGATGCTATGCCTCTCTGAAAGAAAGGATATGAAGACATTCATGCCTGAAATGACTGTGTCAGCCAAAAACCCTAGAAATTTTGGTTCAATACCAGAATGCAGACAATGTCCACTGATTACCAAAATCAGTATTATTTTATATTATATTATTTTATATTGAGTAATCCTGACATTTCATACACTAATGACTCGAATAATTAATTATATTTTGTTATAGTGTAATATTTGAAGATTTCCATACATTTGGTCAGGGTTACTGTCCTGAAGAAAATTTCTGTGATGATTTTTGTATAAAACTTATCTAAACCCACAAAAGCTGTCTTCAATACCATATTTCATTTGTAAACTATTAATATTATGTAACAGTGAAGGAAACAAATAATTTACCCATGAAATCCTGCAGTATTAATCTTTGATAGTTATCAGAAGAGTGATAAAAGGGGAATATGACCAGGGTCTCAAGACTGTTAATTTTCTAGTATTAACTGTAGTTCTTCTACAGTGAACTACATCAAATGTCTACATTTGTAAGTTTCCTGATTAAAACACTTTGTTCTATACCATTTACAACAAAGGAAGACTTGGCCTGTGAATGTCTGGTTACTGGGCATTTTTAAACTTCTGGAAGCTTGTTTCTGTTTGACCCTGATCTGTTTTCCCATATACTCTTCTACCAAGATACATTACTGGAAACGGTATTAAACTCAATCTTAAAACATTAACAGCACTACTGCCATACATATGTGCATATGAGACTGTATTTTCAAATTATATGAAAAAGATTTTGAACTTGCTAAACAAAGAAGTGATATGCCAAAATATTAGACCACAAGTTAATATCTTGCTCATGGTATAAATGTTATGTCCATGTAACTTTCATGTTTTTCTGTGTCATATAGGCAGGCTGATCCAGGAGTCCAATCACATGTCTAATGGGATCAGTGTTTCAGAATGAACTTTACAAGGCCTAATTTCTGAATGTCACAGAAAAAACAGAATATTCTAGCAAACAAAACTGAAATAATTAAATCCTTTTTGCACTTTCTTTCTTAGGAAGTACTGTTCCATACTCAAGTAATAAATAGGTAAAACTGAAGACAATCAGATATTACACTGCAGTAATGTCATATGAAGACAAATGACTGAATGAGAGTCGTTCACATTGCCTCAGGCAGTTGTCTGAGTCACTGAACTCTTCTAACACTAAACTCGTTTGTATTATATGCAAGCGCAGAGAATGCCCTTCACTTTTACCCGAAGTGGTGGAAGATGTGAAATGTGCATGTTCAAATGTTACATTTCGAACTAAAGCACATTGGTCATTTTGTGTAGCAGCTTTGGATTTACTTGTGGCTATATTTCTGGCTTGTTACATTCGGATTACATTATTGTTACATTTCAAAACACATAGTCTTAGCTGAAATTTATACCCTAACACTACACTTAATAAATAATCATAACTGTGTTTAAAACTATACCCTTTATTCATTCATTGAATATCACCTGCTTCAGTTCATGACTGAATGCCAGCCTCATATTTTTATACACCTGCTACTAATAGCAAAAATTCAACAATGTGTATAATATTTCAGGAACATGCTCCAGAGAACAAATTATCTCTATCACAATTTTGATTCCTCTTATGAGCTTCAAGGTGTAGGATAATTTTGAAAACTAGGTATGGGTATTTGAACCCATGCTAATTCCTGGGATTATAAATATTCTGGGGCACTAATATACTAATATGCACTTTCATATGTGTATATGGATTCATGTCCTGATTCCACTTTTAAGAGTCTTAAAAAGGCATGATAAGCTGATGTAATCCACACCCTTTATTTGGTCAACATTTCTTTCATGAGAGGTAACATTCCTCAGCTAATAACTGTAAAGTAGTTATGTTTGGTACAACAGACACTTCAAACATGCTACTACATTTCTCATGCTGGAGATTGTGACACATTTACAGAACGACAACTGGTGCAGCTTAAAACAGCAAGCACCACCACCTCCTCCCATCTCCTTTACAGTGGGCATACTTCATGCTCACACATAATAAATTATAAACATTTTACTTATTAACCAACTAATTATATGGAACCTTCTCCATAAGCTAAGAGCCATTCAAATAATAAAGAAATTACACATTTCATGAAAGGCAAAGGCTCATTACTAGATTCATAACAGCCTGTTATATATACATTAAATATGGCATATATACACTCAAAGTTTTGCCTCATTACCATGCCTGCAACTGTTGAATTACAAACACATTTTCACACATAATCTGTATATATCTGAATCTAGCTCCAATGGTTCAGTAATTACCATTCTCAAACAGAAAGCTAAATGAACTTTAGCTGCCATATTGTTATTTTACAATCTATAAGAACAAATGCCTATTACCACCCACGATTTCTAATCCCATTGCACAAGTTTCCGCATCCACAGTGTTATTATTACTGATTTTTAGAGGTTAAGAATTGTGGCATTGGGACAGCCTGCAATGGCGCAACATCTATACCAGGTTTTGAGAAAACTGGACAACTGGTTCAAAAGTTGAAATGGGAAGGATAAACAGCCAGATTCACACACACAAAGACAGCATGGTGACACCATAAGCTCACTTTCCCTTAACAAAGGAAAATAGCCTAATGAAAGTGTTCAGAACCAAAAATCAGTTTCTAAAAAACTCTATTTCTTATATCCACAAATCATTAGCCTACAAAAATTTAAATAATACTGTCATGTGTGTTACAATACTGTTACATATAGCCCACCCACCAAGGTACAATAGGCCAATCAGTGGCTGCCGTGCGCAGTGGACCCAGTTGGACTCCACTCCCCACTAAGTGAATTTAATTTTTTTTAATTAGCCCCCACACACACAGATGCACATGCACATACACACACATATGGGTGTGCATGCAAAGAGAGAATGGAAGGAATATGGAAGAAAAAGCAATGAACATATATATATATATATATATATATATACGTATTTTTTTGTAGTGTGTAAAGCTACTGCTATGCAACAATTGTGAGAAGGAACATGCCTAGCTTGATAATGGCAGGTTAACACATCAACAATACCTGGGCTATTACTAGGCAACTGCTCAATAAACAAGTTCCCGCAGCAATGGATACACATGCAACAGTTAAGATATTGTTGGATTATAAAAATTAAAATGGTGTTTTCTATGAGGTTTGTGCCAAAATGTTATAAGCATGGTTAGTCAAATTCCAGAGGAGGAGTTGTCAGCAGTTCAGTTATGTGAAGTGACATGAAGTAGCTGGTTGGTGACAGAGTTCAGCTGTCAGTTCACTCGAGTTCAGGTAGATGTGGAGTATTAACCAGTGGGCAATGATGTGACACGGAAGATGAAGAATCCCCATGGTTAAAGCTGTTGCCAAGAAACAACTAGTGGAGACTGTATTAGATTGAAATTTCAGTGAACTGTAAAGTGTAGTTCTGAGTGGTGTACACAAGTGGTCAATAAATCCAATCTCCAATCCATACCCCATCTATAGTCACACACCCTTAGAATGTGACAATATATATGATTACAGTAATTATACTATAATATTGCAGTTATTTCCAGGTTACTAGAAATCAAGATAATTTGATTTCTTTTATCTTCAAAAACATCATGCTAGAAACATTCTAAAAAGATCTCATATGCACATAGCATTAGTGTAGCAAATTTCAGATTATTATAAATCAAGATAACTTGATTTTACCATGAAAACTTATCAATTTGCAACACTCTTCCTAGCTTGTAAGAATTTCAAAATAATGGCTTTCACAATACTTATAACAGGTACACATCCTTCAAAGCAATGCGGTAAAGCTTGTTTCCTTGTTTAAACAAATAATATCATATCTAAAATAATTCTCATGATGACAGCCTACACAAGGGCGTCACATGACTGTTGCTACTGCTGCTGCTGCTGTTGCTGCTACGCTGCTGTTCATGTATTTCACATGGTTCTTCTGACTGCAAGATTGACTTTATTATGTTTAAAGACAAAAGATGGCACTGTCATACTTATGCTATTCTGTTGGGAGTAGCTGTGCTTTTCCTTGCAATGTTTCCTATATTCATAGGTTACCATATTCAGTTTCATTACAATTAAAAATACACAAGAGCACTGGCAAATCTCCATCTACAATCAAATACTGCATACTCACATATTTGCTCCATTAAAAAATGCATAAACATTCAATCTCTTTAATCATTAATAAAAAATTATTAACATGGACTTATATGTGGGTATGGTTTGCTACAGTCAATATCTTTTTCTCTGAATACAGTGGAGAGCCTATAGGTTACATGGGGCCCAGCTATTCATGCAAAATCATTAAAACAATGATAACTGGTAAGTACAACAGTACAGTGCATATTTAGACCCATGCTGCCTATTTTAAATTTTTTTAAATATACCACTGGCAACAAATGTAAATCTGTATGTATATCTGAGTGATGTTCACACATCAGGACCCAGAGCTCTTCTTCACAAATCTCTATGAGACTACAAACTCTTTCCTACTAGGAATAAGCAATCAGAGCTACAGCCAACAATTCTTGAAGACATGTAAAAAAAAAAATTTTTTTTGTACAAATTGTTTAACACTGAAAGTATAAGGTATGTTGGAAGCAGCAACTTCCAAGAGCCTGGTACTGACACCTACTTCCTGTCATTATTATAAATCTTAATTAACTGATGAAGAACAGGGATCAAGCTTCAATCCTTAAAAATTACTGCTGCTACAACTTCATACTCTCACAGTGTTAATTCAGTCAAGTTTTCTAAGTCACTGATACGCACCAATGAAACACCTGAAACAAGAGAAAAGTTACAGATATAAATCACTCCGTCCAATGTGACCTGTAAGTTTTTTACTACGTGAAAACTTAACACCCTTACATGTTTCGGTCTCTGTGGACCATCTTCAGAGGGCAAACATCACTACAAATAGGAAACCACCATCACATAAGTTGTTTAGACGTAAAGTACGTACACTTATATGCTACAATGCATAGTACACAAAATAGAACATTTCACAAACAGCAGTTTCCTGGGAATGTAAAGTTTTTAAAAAATTATATAAAATTTCTTGATGCTAATTAAAATTTTTTTTTTGTATTGTCAATAATTGTGTTTGTAATACAATTTTGTATTGTCAGAGACCGAAACATGTAAGGGGGTTAAGTTTTCCTGTAGTAAAAAACTTACAGGTCACATTGGACGGAGTGATTTATATTTGTAATTGTTAGTGTGACGGACCAGAATGAAACAAATCAAACTTAGAGAAAAGTTATTCCTACTATAAAAATGTTAATTGTATTAAAGCTGACAGAATGAAGACATATTAAAAATGAACATGAACAATTATGAATTTCATTTCCTCACTCCTATAGCTAACTTCCTCTAGGAAGCACTTATGGTGCCTACTCTCCTTCCAGTGGTATGACTGATATATACTGAGGCTAGCCAGAACTACATAGTTGCAACTAGCAATTTCTGAGCCTAACTGCAACCGGTACCAGTTCCTCCTACATTCAATTTATCAGACAACTGCAAAGTTCCAAATTCTCAATGACTATAATTGTTAACAATTTCACTTCCAGCAATTCTGCAGCTGGCTTACCTCCCAGACTTATTTTTTGCAGTACACTAGCAATTGGCAACATTTCACTGTAAAGAGATGAACAGCAAATGATCTATTTACATCCAAAAATTGCACAATGTAGGATCTAGCACCATCTAGTGAGAGGGAAAACTATTTCCCACAATATTCTCAGAAAGAAGAAACTGCAGACCTCATCAAAGCACAGCTTCAAACAGGCAAACTCTCCTACAGTATGTTAGATTTGAGGCTTTCACGGCGGTGACTATGAAGAAAGCAGTCTTCTGGGATTTGGCACCGTGTATATGTATATACACGGTGCCAAATCCCAGAAGACTGCTTTCTTCTCCTACAGTAGTTTGGACACTGCACCTTTCGACAACAAAGCTCGTTTACAGGAATAAAGGTAAGAACGCACAATAAAAAATCTTTTAATACAGAATTCTTCGGTGTGTATATATAATACCTCCATAAAAATTCCACATACCCACACAAAAAAATTCAATATTCCACTACACCAATGCCTGATCATCATGATATTGCAGAATTCACATGATTGCCATGTCGATACTGAAAGTAGAAACAGCTGTGTAAACACAAGCCATGTGGTTTTTGTCCACAAGTGAACTATACCAACCAAGCAAGCTATGTGGATATCATAACCGAAATCTGACCCCAGTACATGCTTCTATATTCTGTGCAATGATCCTTGTATTATGTATTAAGTAGTTGACTCATGAGGCTTTACACTTTAAGTTTCCTCCAACACAAGTATATATTAATAATACAAACAAAATCAGTGTTAGAAGGCAGATGAAAATACACTGAAATGTTAGCACAACAAACTTCTGGAAAAGGACAACTTACAATCATTGTAACAGAATTTCAGTATACTGACAGGTAACAAAAAATAACAGTTTTTATAAGGACCATTCGATGAAAAGAACTGAGTCATGGCACACAGCCCTTATGATATAAACCATAAAATAAAATGTGCACCAACTGATCTGTAGTTTGGTAGAGCTTCTGTGGGATCCATCAACCTCCACACAATTAACTGCACAATGGCTGGTTCCAGCAAGGTATCGCTCTTTAACCCACCATACATGAATACAGCATGCATGCCCTCTACTACCCAATTACACTGATGCCACATTTTTTCACTATTCTTACCAATTTGTATACAGATCCCAAACTTGCATATACTTTTTGCAAAAATAATGAAACTGAAACAACATATAAAGTGTGCAGTCACTTCTATGGATTATAATTGTTACAATATTGCGGCGTGGCACCTAAAAGCCAGATTATATGACATCCATTGCTATGCAATGGCTACAATAAGAACACATACTTCACTGGTAACAAATACATAAGCTACCTAAGAAATTGCCTAGGCAACACAGACAGAATTGTTGAGTTCCCGCAGCACCGGTTACACTAGCCAACGCTGTGTCAAAGACAGAGAGGACCCTTGGACAAGGTGTTGGCTCAGCAGTTCACAAAGATTCACTTTAAGAGGGTAGAATGCATCAGTTAGGTCAGTGATCAGAGATGATGAGCTAGTTAGGTCGCATCGCCTGGAAGAATTATGTCAGAGTGATTGTAGTGATTGGAATTGTAATCATGGACGAGTTGTCCAATAAAACAGCTTTGTCTAAATCTGTAAGCCAATAATTATTTGTCATGGAACCACGAACACGTGACAATTAGTCTCAGGAAGTGTTATGACCTTAAACACGCCACAGTTTGTTGTAAGAAGTGACTGAATTAGATTGAAGACAATGACATGGAACAAATATTTGAACTCTTGAAGTCTATGCAAGACAAACTGAGAACCCAGAGAACCAAGATGGAAGAGACAGAGACCAATAGGAAGACAGGCCGTGAAGCTCTAAAGGAAATGATGGCAAAGATAGACAAAATGATAGCCAGGATGGATGTGAACCAAGCTGCACGTCTTGAAGGAGAGGAGACGACCTCAGTGGACATAGAACATAAGGTGGCACATCAAGAAATCCCTAGGGAAGACACCACAGTGATGCCAATCAGAGGACCAAGGAAATGGCGTAGGGACCAAAATCTGGCTGCAGAACACTGCCAGAAACCGAAGGAGACAAAATGGGAAAAAAGTGAATCCCGGAGGAGACTGACTGTCGCCTACAGGAAGGTGTCCCACCATGCAACAGTGGCATGGCGCAAGAGGCACACCATCAAAAAAATTGGATCAAGTCAAAGGTTGAACAGGCAACCCAGAGAGTATGGCTGCTCAGCAAGGCAGCAAGGCAATGAAGAATCTAGGTGGCAAGCAGCTGCTATATCCAAAAAAGAAGAAGACAATTGCAATCAAAATCAGAGGGTGGAGCTCGGGACAGCTATCACCTCTGGGAAGAGGAGAACCAACCTACAAGATCCTCAAGATGACCCTGGAGCTGGAATTTGTGAAGCAAGCAAATGGGATGTCCAGCAGGTTACAAAGAAGCAAACACTGGACCTTGTGGAGGGGCTGACCCTGTCCAAAACAAAAAAAAAAAGAATGGTACGTAGCGCAGGAGCCAGTAATGTAGAAACATCAGCCCCAACAGCTAGAAAAAAAGGAAAAAAAAAGCAATAGAACAGAACTCTCAAGGAAGTGGCTGGACCATATTGGGTTGCTCAAGATGAGTGCCCCTAAGGAAGGAGAGATGGTAGTGGTGAAGGGGAGTGAACACTGCAGGAAAAAAAAAGAAAAAAGAACCTGGAACAATGGAAACCCCAGAAAAGGAAAGAATGGTGATACACCATTAGGCTGTTTGGGACAAACAGCCCTAAGGAAGGAGCAATGTGCCTAAAAGCCGGATTATATGACGTCCATTATATGACGCAATGGCTACAATAAGAACGTATACTTCAGTGGAAACAAATACATAGGCAGACCGCTACCTAGGAAATTGCCTAGGCAACAGAGACAGAATTGTTGAGTTCCCACAGCAATGGATATGCTACCCAATGCTGTGTCAAAGACAGAGAGAGCCCTTGGAGGTATTCTCTCGGCAGTACATGAAGACCTACTTTAAGAGGGTAGATTGCAACAGTCAGATCAGAGATCAGAGATGATGGGCTAGGAAGGTCGCATCATCTGAAAGAAGTTATGTCAGAGTGATTGTAGTGATTCGAATTGTAATCGTGGATGAGTTGTCCAATAAAACAGCTTTGTCTAAGCTGCAACCCATTATTTGTCATGGAACCAAAGGCATGTGACAATATTCATATAATTACACACGCTATGTTATATAATAAGAAATTTGTCATAAAAATTTTAAGTTTGTGACCACAATAAAAAATAATCAGAAATCTCTTCCTGAACAGTTCGCTTTAACAATGATTTTTCTAGGTGATCATGACTGGTATCAATATATTGAAGTATGTGATCTGGCAAATTGCAAATCGGTGTGCCTTGGATAATTGCCAATGGAACAGGAACCTTGTTTTGCAGGCTCTGCAATTTCATTAGATGGGCACCTGCCACGAATTCCCAGGCAGGACTAGCATAAGTCATTATAGACCTAACGAGAGCTTTGTGGAGGGTCAATTTAATGTTAGCACTTAATCGCTCACTTCTGAATAAGGAATATACTCTAATAAATGTTCTGAAGGCTTCGGCTTCAATCATTTCTATGTGTATTCTCCATGTAACCCCCTTACCGAATATTACATAGAGATTTTTGCACTATTTACAAATGGAATATTTCTTCCATTCAATGTAAGATGAGGCACAGACGGTCAACGACTGTGAGAGAAGTAGATTCCCTGAGTCTGATCTTCATTAATTTTAATATTCCAGTGATTACACCAGGTCTCTATTCAGCTGAGACCGTGCTGGAGATTAATAAAAAGAAACCCTACTTGCAATCTCTCATATACAGACAGGTGTCCTCTGCAAAGAGGGCTAGATAGATGAACGGTGTCTTTGGGGGCCATCATTTATCATCATCATCATCATCATCATCATCATCATCATCATCAGTAATCTGTCAGACGACAGGTCCACGGTCTCTTCCAAAACAATTCATCCATTTAATGCGATCTAGAGCTTTCTCCTTCAAATGACAGTATCCTCTTCTGTCCCCAAGGTCATCCAGCATCTTCTTACGTCTTCTTCCTCGTCTTCTGGTCACTTCTATCCGCCCCTCTGTCTTTCCTTCAATAACTTCTTTTAGAAGGCAGTTTCTGCGTAAAACATGACCAATCCAATTAACCTTCCGTTTTCTTATTTCGTGTAGGATATTCCTCTGCTCACTGACTCTGATTAACACTTCTTCATTTCTCACATAATCGGTCCAACTGATCTTCTCCATCCTTCTCCAACTATACATATTGAATAGGGTTGGGGAGAAGACAGAACTTTGTGGCACCCCTGCTTCCACTTCCTTTGGTATAGATATTTCACCTTCCATTGAAACACTGAATTACTGTTGTGAAAGAAAACAGCCAATAAGCTTGATCAAACTGGTCAAAAATTCCAATTTAGATAACTCATACAGCAACCAGAGTGCAATGTGGTATCAAAGGCTTTTTTGATGTCCAAGAACACAGCAGCCATATACATTTATTGTCAAAATTAAGAGTTAAGTGGTCCATTAGCCTCATACGTGGCAATGTCATGTTGTGATGTGCATGGAAACCAAACTGGCTCGTGTTAAACAGGCCTCTTATTTCAATGTGCTTGTGGACTATTTTCAGAATGACTTTTTTTTAATAGTTTGCCTGTTGTGGACAGGAGACTAATCTAACATAAATTTTGAGGTATTTTGGGTCCTTACCAGGTTTTGGTAAAGTTATGACTTTTGCTTCCTCTGAAGGATTTGGAAAATGGGACAGCCGAAGGCAATGACTGAATAAATGGGTCAGGTGTACCAATGGTTGGCATGGAAGGTGCCTAAGGAATTCATTTGGAATTCCACCAATTCTGCAGGCCTTTCTCAATTTCAAAGAATTTATTAATTTCTGTAAGTCACATGGTCTTACCTTCTGAGGGGGACTGTTATCTACATCCTCGAGTAGAGCTTTAACTCTAGCCTCCACCTGCCACATTGGTCTGTGAATTAAAACCTTCTTTGTCTCGTGCCAATAAACCATCTGTATGCAGCTCAATTTAATTATAACCCATTGCCATTTCCCTTTCCTTTGTGATGAAATGGTGATGAAATCAATGACATTTTATTTTTTCAATTCTTTCCTTCTTTTATGAATTATGAGTGTTGATGGGCTGATTCCATATATTCATGCTGTTTCAACTTTTTTCAACATCTCAGTCTCCATCTTATAAAATTATATATTTTTCTTATTCCACCTCCATCACATGGACGGGTCAATGGGAGGGATGGACATGCTGGTATCATAAGCCTCACTGTACAACAGAACAAATACTGTTGCAGTTCAAGAGTCATTCAATGCTCAGCCCTTCAATCTGTTCCTTATAAAGTAGGCTAATGAGGGGCCTGTAAAATTAGGGGGAATGAAAGTGCCTGCTCCAATGCTTTTATTTAGTGTCTTGGGTTGGGTGAGACTGGTAGCTCAACCTGGTACCTCAGCCACTATTTGGCCTATTGTGTCAGCCCCAGATGATGATAAATGTGGAGCAGTTGGTGAAATGAGAATTGGGAGGGGGAGCCGAAGGACTTGGAGAAAACCTTCCCCAGTGCCACTTTGTCTGCCACAAATCCTACATTACCTGAGCTGGGACTAAACCCAGGCCACTGCAGTGGGAAGCCGGCAACTAATAGCCAGAGCTATAGCATGGCCAATGCTCGTTACCACAGGTCTTACCAAATCTGCACATTATCTCTGACTAATGGGTCTAATTCAGACTCAAATTAGAACATTACACACACTGCAAAGAGATTTTATTCTACTATTGCAACCAATATATGGTAAGGGGTCCCCTCCTCTTCAAGTTCCTCCCTTTAAAGTATTTGCTCCTTTAATGCCCAATTCAAATATTTCCTACCATAAGTGTTAGATTTCTTCCATTTAAGATCTTCTTCAGTTTCATGACCTTGATTCATTTACTGATAATATTAAACTGCTTAGGTTAGGCGGTGCTCAATGAGAAATAAAAGAAGAAAACATATGAATGGTAAGATGGAATGAACTATGGGAGGAATTCAATGTACAATCCTGGCATTTGCCTGTAGGGACAACTCACTGCTGCTAGTTGTGGAAAACAGGTATAGACAAGAAGAAAGCAGTCTTCTGGGATTTGGCACCGTGTATATGTGGTGTTAACCGACGTTTCGGAGGAACGTATCACCTCCATCTTCAGGGTAGAAGAAAAAATATAAGAAATCTGCAAGCGAAGAGACCGTGAGAACCAGTAAATGCAGACCAGTCGGTTAACACCACATATACATGATGCCAAATCCCAGAAGACTGCTTTCTTCATAGTCACCGCTGTGAAAGCCTCAAATCTTACAGGTATAGACAACTTTAATTATGATGAAGGAATCTGCCTCAGGACAGCCATTTTCCATGGTGAGATTCAAATCATGAACAACAAGAACAAGACTGGAAAAGAATATATACTCCATAAACTAGCACATAAATCTACCTTGTCTGAAGTTTATTAAGCGTACATACAAACAGGAATAGTAAAATGCATATTAGGTAAAGTCTCCCATATTAAAATTAAACAAAATCTGTGAAAGGGTTGAGAGATAATGGAAAATTCCATGTAGGGTCTTATGTAAATCGGTCTTTATTATAGATAAATATAGCTGAACATAGAAACTGCCTCATAGCTTTTGGTTGAAGTCCCTCATAACAATTTCTACAATATCTGTGGAATAGTTTATAGGATCCATGGAAAAGTTTGTTTATGGGCTTACATATAGCACATTTTATTATGGTTCAATATGGTTAAAAATCAGTATTTCCCGATGTTTAGTGAAAATCTCCCATGCCAAATTTTAAGAAAAATTGTGCAGTCATTTAGATACTTACAGTAGATCACAGAAAGACGGATAGATATCACCTCCAAGTAAGATGTCCTTTTCTACATTATAAAGAATACCAAACAAAAAGGTACCTATGCTAAACACTATACAATGATATTCAGCAATTTAGTGACTGAATCCACTGTCTATGACAGGAACATCAAACAGGAGTTTAACTGCTGTTTTATTTTACAACAAAATGTAGAGGACAGATTATCACTTACCTCTAAGTACTAATTCATTAGTTATTGTTTTCACAGACTGACACATGGGAACATCGTGAAGATCCTCCCTGAGTTTCACAGCCAAATCTCGGGCTGGATTCCATGGCTCCATGTCAACAGTGTTGCAGGGATCAACTTCATGGAGTGCCCGTGTCCACACCACAGCATAATGCCCTGTGTCCACATTCCACACAAACTTGCAACTGCCCTGGTACTGCTGTCGTTCCATACTGCTCACTGGATGCCTAGATAATCAAAGGGTATGGTAATGCCACGAATGAACATTTTACAGTTCCAGTTGCAATGCTGGTTCAGTCTGGATTGACTCCACATTTGTACATGGCACCAAAAAAAGAATGGCTGTGACTGATGGATTGGTAAGTATGTGGGAAGCTCCTGGTTTGCAAGAAATACTCTAGTGTGCCAATAAACTAAACTAACTTCATGGAGCTGAGCCCTTCTTGAGAAGCTGCCAACTGTGCAGCTTCTCAAGAACTCCCCAGCATTTTATGGAACCTGAAGGTTCACCACCGTGTTCACAAGAGCCCTCCACTGGTCCCTATCCTGAGCCAGATCAATCCAGTCCATACCACCCCATCCTACCTCTCTAAGATCCATTTTAATATTGTTCACCCACCTACATCTTTTTCTCCAATCTCCTGTCACTTCATCTCCCTTCAGTCCAAATTATCTCAACACACTGTTCTCAACCACCCTCAGTTTACATTCCTCATTGTCAGAGACCAAGTTTCACACCTATACAGAACCACAGGCAAAATTATAGGGGCTGGATGAGTGGCGTTCGATTCCCGGCAGGGGAGAGATACATTTCTCTTCTCCACAGCATCCAGACCAGCTTTCAGACCAACCTAGCCTCTTATTCAATGGCTACCGGGAACTCTTTGCCCAGGAGGTAAATTGGTCAGGATGCGAAGGTGGCCATTTGACTTCATCTAGCATAAAGAGCAAGAATTGTGAAGCTATACCTCCACTCCCCCACATGACTTCATGGTGTGGTGCTTAACTAATTAAGCACAGGAACAACTTCATAAGCTTTATCATACTTAGGCTATTTTCCTAAGCAGCCAATCTGAAACATGTTCAAAACCAAGGGAAGCAGCCATGTTTGTTGCATGACAAACTCACAGACTGCTGACCAAAAAAAAAATCCTGCCTGCATACAGCAATTCTCAGATAAGACAATTTAAGGCACAAAACATTAAGACCTGTCGAATATACTGCAGCTCATACAATTACAATATCTCTCTAGAGAAAGCAGCTGTAAAGATGTATTTTGGATTCTGCAGATAGCATATCCATACACATAACAAATGCTGCAGAAGATGGGAAATGAACAGTGTACATGGGTACAGGGAACCAGCTTAAAGAGTTAACAGCTTAATTTGTAAAAGTTTAATACAATTTTCTCCTGACCATTTCTTCACCAAAAAGAATTGCATAAATAGGTTTCATGCTATTCACACTATAAAAATTCATACAAACCTTTGACTCTTTGCTAAACCTTTTGTTTTGATAGTTGCCTGAATTCTCATTAACGCAACAGCAATCACATCTCCGGAAAAAGGACAAACCTGTCAAGATATAAAACATTACTGCATCCATAATCATAACTCTCTCTCTCTTTACGGTGGTAAGTATTTAAATACAAGCTCAATGTCAATGCAAGGAATAATATTTTCAAATACAAAAAGAAATATTAAATGTAATAAACTCAGCAGACCTCAAGTTAAAATATATAAACAATTTCATGCCATTTGAAGTTATATCTTCTTCTGCTAAGAAAGGAGATAGCCAATAGACCAGAGATGGTAGCAATGCAAGGATGTTAATCTTATATCATCTTCTATAATCAACATATGAAGACTGAATACAGGTTTTTTTATCATATTTCTATCAAATAAATTGATCTCATATGGAAGATTTGATAGAATTTCTAACTTCAAGCAAACTTCTGCATGAGGAGTGGGATACTAAAACATAATGGAATGGAATCCCAAGGAGCTGTGGATCAAATATTAGGCAGAATTGATTATAAGGACAGGCATATTATAAGTGACTTTGATATGGGAACACCAAAAACTGTTCTCTCTAAAAAGTTTTAACTACAGTTAAAACGTTATAATCTTCCCTAAAGAAAACCTGTCATTCAAGAAAATGCACAGCTACTTTCTCTTCTTTGTTGATAATTTTTTGTGTGTCTTTCATGTCTTCCCTGATTTTACTCTCTTGATGGATAGAAGCAGATTGGTTGTGGTGTATTTGTCTGTTAGTGTTAATATTATGAATTCTTACATTCAAGGACAGAGCCTATAAAAATTAAAAAAATATTTCAACATCGTACTGGGACTAAAACAACTAGAAGTAAGGTATAGCACATCCATGCCATAGCTCAAGCGGTTAGTCGCTGGCTTCCCACCGCAGCAGCCCAGGTTCAATTAGGTTTTCTCTGAGTACTTCAGTTTCCCCTGCCAATCTTCATTCCACCAAACTCTCCATCATCATAATCACCCAGGGCAGGCTGCAATAGGCCAATCAGTGGCCACCGTGCTGAGTGGACCCAGTTGGACTCCACCCCCCACTAAGCAAATTAAAAGAAAATGTATACCACATCTAGAGAATATGCATTTTACCCCTCAACATCCAAGTACAAGCAAATTCAGGAAAAAGTCATATAAACTTTACACAAGAGTAATACTGCAGGAAACTATTAAAAATAATGTGGCGTATTGGCCACACCCCCACTCCTTCCATCATTAAGCAACACTCGGTAAACACCCTTCCCCGCTATGCTGTGACGTCACACAACAGGGGAGTCCATGCAGAGACTATTGCTAGGCAATCGGTAAACATGACATCATGCTACAGTGGCAGATATCACATAACTGTTTTCTGTGTTATCAGTGCGGAAGCCGCATAATGAGGAGTATTAGTCAGTGTTGAACCAGAAGTTACTAGTACTGAGTATGAGTATTCAGTATGAGTTGAAGTCCAGCAGCTACAAGTTGTTACTGAGTTGTATCAAGTGAATGGCAGTGACTACAACAGGACCAGTACTTGTGATACTGCAGATGGCAGTAATTGTGAAATTGTAAACTGTGTAAGTGTAAGAGCGAGTGTGCAATAAATTCGTTAGATCCAAAACAGAGTGAAGTTATTTGTCATGTCACATACCCAACAAGTGACAGTAATTTCGTTTTTCCAATATTTATCAACTGAAACTACTTTCATTTCCAAGAGATTCTTAAGAGGAAAAAGTTTTCAAATCACTGTATTCAAAATTGTGTTTATGAGGGGCAGGAAAGATACTGAGAAACTGAATACAGGAATGAGTAAGAGACAAAAATTTTACATACCTCACTACTGTGTTCATTTATTTACAATGCAAACACATTTCTGTAAAGCTTGCCATGCTACAAATTCCAGACTTAATAACTGTAAATTATTTTTCTCCCGGTCTCTTTAAACATAAAGAATATAGAAAAAAAATTCAAACAAAAGTTGTAGATTGTAATGAGTTCTAGGCCATATTTCACAAACCATTCATTTGTATGATGTATCATTTCTGAGAAAAATTACGTGTTCAATTTGAATGTTTGTAAAAGATTTACTGAACCATTACAGACAAAACTAAATTCATTTGATGACTTTTAGTGCAGGCACCCAATATAAAATTTTGGCAAGATGTGTCAAGTAATTTCAAGGATAAAAAAAAAAGGATGGACAAAGACTTTCTGCACTTTGAGCAAATAATACAAAGAATGCTCCATGCTTGCAAGCAGTACTTCTCTCGTGGGAAGATATACATGAGGAAAGTTTAAAAATAAAATAAAAAGTATTACACACACATCTAGTACATGTATCAATAATAAATGACAAGTTTCCCACTTACATCAACTATTTCTACATCATAATCATTGCAAAACCAATATTTCTTCCCAGCTTCAATACATAATCTCTCAGCAATTTCATGACAGAACTGTTCAACATCAAAACTCCGCTGATGGACAAGAACACATGGAGCCATCTAGAACAGGGATAAAATAACACAATCAACAACATAAGTATCTGTGAGGACTAGAACTAATTTTTCATATTCCAGCTAAGTTTAAAGTTCCATATACTGTGTATATTACATTATATATTATATTGTAACGTGTCGCGAATCCAGAAGAGTCACTTCTATGGAAACACTAGAATAGACCGTTGCATAGGAAACAACAATTGCTCTACTGTAGTCCTAACAGGAATCTCCACGGTTACGACGAATACGCGAAGCGTTCCCACAGGGACAACGCAAAAACAATGGGTCATTGCGTAGGAAACGCGGAACCGACAAAGCAACGTTTCCACTGCTATAACAGAGGATTCATTTGCCTAGCAGCGGCCAAGGTTATAAAAGCCCAGCTTCGACGAGAAGTCGTCAGTCTTGGAATATCAGTCGAAGAAGTCAGTCGTTATCAACCCTTCGGAGCAGTTTCTCGGAATATCCGCCGAAGAAGAGAGTCTGCTAGAAACCACCAGAGAAGAGAGTCCAGTGTCAGCCGGAATATTGTGAGCAGTGATTGTAACACTGCAAGGGCAAATGTTTGTAAAGTGTGTGTGTAAGGCGAGCGAACAGAATAAACTCGCTATACCAAACAACGGCGTCAACTTATTTGTCACGTTGTACACCCAACACATGACAATATTATATTAAATTCTGCCAACATTTCTTCACTTCTTTTATAGTTGACATTAATAACACAAACTTAAACTATTTTCCTGATAAAAAAAGATCTATGACTTTATCACTCACCAGTTTTCCAGCCTTTGTATTTGAGATCATTTGTAATTGTGCATAACCAGCACCATGTACCTCCAAAGGAAGTGCGCAGTGATAACCTGTGCTTTCACTGAAATCATCATCTGAAAACAAAAAACACATATCATAAATACAAACACAAAGTTGTCACTCTGCTTAATTAAGTATCATGCCATCAAGATGCTTGGAGGAGTGAAGGCATATCTCCACACATTCTCAGTTTCAGCACTAGATGGAGGTGTAGTCAATTTCATGACCTAGCTACTTTACCACAAACAAGAGTCCTCACCACCCACAGGATAAGAGGCTGGGGTTGTTACCTGATTTTTTTCTATCAATGTATAATGTTAAAATTTAAAGTACAAGTAAACCCAAACTTGTGAACATAATTTGTTCTTTAAAATATGTAAGTTGAATGTTCACATAAGTCAAATTATTTTTTTTTTCATAAGACATACTGTTAAACTTGTTAATGTTAATTTGTTAGAATATTTATAAATCCAGGGTTCTGTGTTCACTAAATGAACTGATAAGTAGAGGTTCACCAGTACAAGAATAAATGCCAAACTGAATACCTTCAACAAATGAATAATTACACAAGCAGTTCCAACTATAGGTCTCAGGATATTAAAAAATGTACCATATTCAAAGAAACCTTGTAATAATAAAAAGTTTATTTTGTTGGATTTCACTATCACAACTACTATGTAATTTAGAGACACTGGGATAGGATATTATCTAATGTAGCACAAGCCATACTGTTGTAATCTTCAACATATCTGTACATGTCCCCACAGCATCACAGCTGTTATGCAATTTAGAAACATTTGGATACCATCTAATGAAACAAAAGCCATACTGTTTTTCTTAACATAACTGCACATTTCCACACAGTACCACAACGGCTATGCAATTTAGAAACACTTAGATATAATCTAATGACACATAAGACTTAATGTTGTCATCTTCAACATAACTGCAAGTTCCAAGTGTGGCACTTGAGCCACTTGTATTGGGGAATAAGTTTTTGTATGCCTGTGGCAAAGAAATCTCCTGCCTGTGAGCTCAGCCATATTTTGTACTGTGACACTAAAAAACTGCATAGGCCAAAAGGTGTGGAATGCTAACATCCAGTGTCATACTCCTCCATGACAATGCATGTCTGCATACAGCTGCACACACTAGAACAGTGATGGAGCATTTCAACTTGGAGTTGTTTGACCAGCCCCCTTACAGCCCTGATCTTGTTCCAAGTGACCACCACCTGCTTGCTCATACCTACCTGAAGAACTGGCTGTGATCACAGAGCTTCAACAATGATGGGAAGTTGATGGAAGGTGTCAAAAATGTGGCTGAGCTCACACATAGCAGACTTCTTTGATACAGGCATACAAAAGCTTATTCCCCAACACAACAAGTGACTCAATTCTGACAATGACTAAATTGAAAATTAGTTTAAGTAGGTTCGTATTTTTTGTATACAATAAAATAATTTTCCCACTGCTTGTTTTCTTAACAGTTCACTGGAGGTTATTTTACGAATGGCCCTCGTGTTTTAGAGTATCATGCCAGAATTTGCATGAAGGATTTAAGTAAAATGACAAACCTCATTCAACTTATTAGATCCCCTGGGTTCAACACAAACCAATTACCTCCAAATTCAAAACTTCACATCACAATTCAATAAAATCCATACAAATTTAGGATTTGAGGCTCTCACGGTGGTGGTAACGAAGGGTGCTAACTTCTGGGCTGTAACACCATGTAGTCCACTGAAATTCAACTGAAGTTTTGGAGGAACATATTGCCTCCATCTTCAGGGTCAAAGAATAAGATGAGCAAGAAACCAGCAAGAGCAGATAGCAAGCAGTGCATATTGTGTAATATCCCAGAAGATAGTACTCTTCATACTAATTTATCTTTAGGAGAAACAGCTTCTCTTACACTAAACTGAGATTGTAGCTAAATGGGGGTTACGAGAAATTGTCGCTGTGCTTAATTAATTGAGCACCAGACCATGGAGAGGTATAGGTATAGCAGAGGTACAACTCCACCATTCTTGACCTTGGCAAAAGATTGGAGTAGTCAGCTTCATGACCTGGCTGCTCTAGCCCCCCCATCTTCCAGGAAAAACCCCAGTAAACATTGTATAGGGGGCTGGGTGTGCCCCGGAGCCAGTTTGGACACTGTGGAGAGGAAAAAAGAATCTCTTGCCCTTGCTAAGAATCGAACCCTGGTCATCTAGCCTATAACCCACTGCTATGCCAACTGAGCTATTCAACTACTAAATGGGGGTTGTGCACAATATATCAAGAATTGATTCATGCCCTTACAAAAATTACTAAATATACTTAATAAAAAGTAATTACATAAGCAGTTAAAGAAGTTGTTCCTACACAAATAAATACAATATAATTACATAATCAAAAATATCAAACTAATTTCTAAAATAGATGGTTGTGCATAAATGATTTCTAGAGACACTGTGAATACTGATCATTATTTTAATCACAATCACAACAAATCAAGGTATAAATTCTGGAAAGTCAAAAATTTCTTACATTTATTTTCAAAATTTGAATTCACTAAATATGGGAAAATAACATATTGCTTAAATTGGAATTCAGTTGGGACCAAAGAAAATATTTTCTAAATATGAGATTAAATAAAAGCCATAAATTGTGATTTGGCCGTACTTGGTACAAAATATAACTGCTGACCGCAGCCTTTGAGCTATTTAACAGAACATAAACATAACAAGCTAGGAAATGTACAGTGTAAAAATTCTGGTCCATTTGCCTTGTTACTGACTCCAAATTTTCAATTCATGAATGTTCTTTATAAAGTACATAAAACAAATGGGGCACACAATGCTTCCATATTCAAGATCTCGTGAAAGGTACTTCTACTGCACCATCCCTTATGAAATCTGACGTGGTTTGACAAATTTGTGGAAGGGCATTCGATATGCAGTTTGATCAAAATGAGTGCAAAAGTTCCCTAGTTATGTGATGAAACAATATGAATACCACTTGTAATTATCTCACAAAGCTGAGAACTTATAAGAAATGCATGTGGGGCATAAAATACATTCACTTTTCTCTAACTTTTGTTTGAAACATCTTCAATGCAATATACACTTTAGTGAATTACATTCAAGATGCATGTAACAACCCATGTACATCTTTATGTAAAGTGTTAAAACGCTGTCAATTTTTAATCAAAAGTAGAATGCATTAACAAATTTTTGTAATACTCTCCTATGTAAAATTTTCTGAAAATCCATTCAGTCGTTCTCAAGTTTTTACATATGGCCAAACAGGCATGACAAGGCCAATGGACTCATTCTGGCAACTTCATTGCAAAATGCCAAAAAGAATCAAACAATAAAGGAGTAAGTCTAACAGTATAAATTTCACAAATCATGTTACAGGAGGAACCCAGTGAACATAATTTAATAGCTTAGGGGACTAAATAAAACCACATCCAAGTATACAACTGCTTCTGTTTTCATGCCAGCTTGACTTCTATTCCATTTGAAAGCTGCAATGATAATGACAGATATTCTGACACACAGATCATGACTTGAGTAAACAAATAATGCAAATTAACATGTAGAAGCTAATAATATGTTATTTCTTCAAAAATTCTAGGCTGACTGAACCTATCTGAAAACAGTCAGAGAGTCTACTTCAGTTGGTACAAATGTATAACTTCCATTGCAGAATACTCACCACTGAACTTTCCTGAATATACAGTGTAATTAAAAACTGTAAAATATCTGGCACACTAACATTCTCCCATGAACAGGAAATACTATACAGTCAAACCTGGATTTTACATTTCTGAAGGGACCATTTTAAATGAATGCAAACTCAAGAAAATAAAAATATATGTAGCTATTGAAATTAAATACACTAAATTAATAATGTACTGTATTACATTAAAAATGTAATCTAGTTCACTTGTTCCACAGGTTGATTAATGTAAGTTGCTGCTTCTTTGCTTTCTGCTGAACCTTGCAAACTTTGCTCTCAGTGCTACTGAGAGTAACCATCATGTTAACATCAACATCAAGCTTCATGAGATATTTCCTCAGTGTCAATATCCTCCAGTGTGCTCACAGAATTGTTACTGAAGGTTCACTTTTATCACCACCATCTTCTTCAGACACACCAGATGTAATCTTTCCATCCATCACTTGTTCAAAAGTCTGCACCTCACACATTATAATCTAATTATTGCAGAATATATATTCTTGACAGGGGCACATGGTAGCATAGTTGATTGAGGCACTATGCTACAAGCCAGAAGGTTGTGGATTCAATTCCTGATGAGGTCATCGGATTTGTCACCAAACCTAACCCTTCCAGCTGCACTATGGCCCCAGTGTCAACTCAGCCTCTTAACAGAAATGAATAACAGGTATCTTCCTGGGGGTCAAGCACGTAAGGCTGACCTCACTGCCATCTGTGAGCCATCTAGAAAATGTGGGACTCACCATGTCTCACAACCTTATGGGCCTCCACAGCCTGTTACAGGGATAGCTTCACCAGTTCGTTTTTTCTTTAACATATGCTTGACATGATACATTTGCTTTCAGCTGATGCCAGTCATCTTGGCTATGCTAAGTTTTGGTGCATCTTCACCATCACTGGTTTGATTTAAACTGAATACACATTTCTCAAGAAAGATCATAACTGTCATATGTTACACAGCACCATGATTCTGCAATGAAAAGTTGTGCATCCAAAACATTTACCTTCATGAACATTGCATCATGAAGCAACTTGTGACTCATCATACAAATAATTATTCTTACAACCAGCTTGTGGTAATATCTGAATTACCTGATTATTCCCTGGTCAAGAGGTTGGAGAATATTGGTGCAGTTCGGAAGAAAAATCTCATTCTTCAGCTAACTTGTGTCTTGGGGATAAGCAGCACACTGGTCATGAAAAGTAAATTTTTTTCTATTTCTGGAACTCATTTTGGCATTTAATGTGATATTAAAATGTGACTTAATAAGTGTGTGGAACTTGCGGCTACTTATAATAAATTTTAACTACAAAAAAAATTGTTTTCTGGTTTAATCTGCAGAAACTTCAAAAAGTAACATCAGTACAGTGATTTAATATGCACACAGAACTTGCAGTCACTTATAACTCAGCACAATTCATTTGCCACTACACAGGTTCAATGATGGCAGGAAACACAACCACTCTCTGCTGGTATGACTCTGAAGCCACAGAACAGTAAGCATACATAAAGCCAATAGAGTAGACAGGACATTACAATTGAAAATAAATTTCTTTTGCCTGATTTCCAATTGAAATTACTTAAAATTACAGCAACAGGCAAATTTATATTAATTTGAAGGTACAGGGAGATCGAAAAGTTGCGCACATCCCACTAAGCAATTACATTTTTCTGGTTTAATGCACAAACTACATGACTTACAGCACTTACTATTAATGTTTGTAACCTTACATTTTAGAAATGCAAAATCAAATTATGTCTTTACAACATATGCTCGAAATGGCTTCCTTGTTCAGCAATGAATGCACATGTTCTTTTTACCATGTTTGAGGCCACTTTGTGAAGCACCTGTAAACTGATGCTATTAATCGCCATCGGAATGTTCCTCTTGAGGTCATCTAGTGTATGCGGATTGTTTTTATAGACAATTCCTTTGAGGTACCCCCAAAGGAAAAAATCTGTGGGTGACAAATCAGGTGAACGTGGGGGCCACAATCCTTTCGAAATGAGACGGTCAACAAAAAACTCACGCAAGAGCTGCATGGTTTCATTAGATGTATGACATGTGGCACCGTCTTGCTGCAACCAACACTCACGTTCATCAACTTCAAGAAGCGCAATAAACTGTGTAATGATGTCTTGGTACACTGGACTGTTCACTGTTGTTTCAAAGAAAATTGGCCCCACTATTCAAAGACATGATACAGCACACCACACTACAGTTTTCTGACAGTGCAAGGGCTTTTCGTGTAACACCTGTGGATTTTTTCAGATGACCAAATCCTATTGTTTTGACTGTTCACGTAGCCAATAAGGTTAAACCACACTTCGGCAGTGAAGAACAACTGATGTAATAATGTTCCACAATGAAAATTCGTTCTTGGGAAAACGACATGTCTGTCATGCAATAACCAAAGCAATACTGCAGACGTCATTTGACCGATACACGACAGATGGCATTTCTACTCGTCGTTAATACTCCTACAGTACCATATAGAGGTAGGAGATGTAATTATATTAACTGCAATACAATTTATAACAACTTTTAGTTTGATGTGAGTGACTTTTTGATCTCCCTGTATAATCAAGGAATTTGGTAGAAAGCACAAATATATATTTCATGAAAATTTAACATTGTTTTTATTTAAGTTTTGGGGGTTGGGTTAGCACAGTTGGTATACTGACTGGCTACAGGCTGGATGGCGAGCGGTTGGAGTTCGAGTGCCAGTAGGGGCAAGATTTTTCTCCTCTCCATGTCATCCAGACCAGTTCTGGGACCCACCTGACCTCCTATGCAATGGGTGCCAGGGGTTCTTTCCCCGGGAGTAAAGCAGTTGGGATGTGAGCCTGACCACTCACCTCTGACTAGTGCTGAAGTCGAGAATAGATGAATCTATGCATCCATTCCCCCATACATCTTCACAGTGCAGTGCTTATACAGTTAAGTACAAGGACAATTTCATCTTTTTTTTATCAAAATTTAAGCAGGACCAATAAAAATGTGCATAAAATCAAGGAAAACAAAACATATTCATGGGATGTAAAATCCCAGTTTCACTGTACTTACTCCAGTTTATTAGGTACCTTTCTTACACATAGGATTTAGTTACCTTCTATATCTGTTATAACAGAAACGAGTTCATCATCTACTTCAATGTAGCGTCGTTTCAACTGGACTGTGCACCTAGTAGGGTTACTGTTTCCATTGGTGTTCGATTGTAGTGATGGACTTGGCAATTCCTTTCTGGTCATCCGAGCAGCACATAGGGGACCAAGGTTTCCTAAAGCCCCTGGCTGTGCTACTGCACTCTCTAATAAATTATGTTCTGGTTTTTCCAATGGATTATGTTCATGTAGTGTTACAGCATCAGGTATGGGTAACTTCCTATTATTGTTAGTCTTGACCCAGTCTCCACTTCCATCACGATCTCTCGGAGAAAGGAGGAGAGCAGCTGCTGTATTACGATTAAGTGGGCGAAGCACAACCTTATCAGTTTCTAAATGGTTTACTGTCTGTGTTATTGTGTGGATGTCAGTAGCCAAGAGCTGTGGTGAGCGAGGCCCCGAGATAACAAGTTCTGGTGGATCTGACAAAGTATCATGGTGCCGTCTTCGATGGGTCAACATGAGAGGAGATGCAGAGAGATAGATAGGCGGTGAGCGAAGTCTAGGGGGCAATTCCCTACGACGAGTTAGTCTAAAAGGAACTATATTTTCTGCATCTTCACCTTCCTCGCAGAACTCATACTTCTTATCGGCAAGACGACGGCGACGAAAAGAACTAAGTTTTTCACAGCCTGGTTCCAGTCCATCATCAGTGAATTCATAGGCCTTCTCAGCTTCTGCTATTTTGCTGTGTGGATTGCTAGCACTACCACCATGAGATGGGGTAGCAGGTATGGCTGGAAGGGGACTACTAAGTTTGACAGTTGCACCTCCACGGATTCGTCTAGATCTTGATGAACCTGGAGTAATTATTTCTTTTCTTCTATCCGGGATCGACTGACAGTCATCACTCTCAGATTCTTCAGTTGTACTCACCATAAGCAGAGTTCCTGGAATTGGAGACATAAGGGTAACAGATGATACCATTTCTTCTGAGGTGGTGGGGTTCATGCTACCACATGTAATATTCAGTTCCTGAGTGGAATCCATAATTCGGCTTTCTTTGTTACAGGCTCCACTTAAATCACCTTGTTCTTTCCACACTGTCTCTCCAGCATATTTTGGTTTCTCTGATATATGAGAAATTTGTGAAAATTCATTCTTCTTTGTTTTCTCAATATCAGATTTATTGCTTTCATTTATTATACATGAATCCACTATTTCCAGACGGCCTGCAGCCCGTGATGTCTGAGATCTCGTAATGCGACCATTAAATGTACTATCCCTAAAATCTCTCACAACTTTCTCCCTAATTGATGATGCTTCTAGATCTCTTGTATAATGTCCTGCCTTGCTTTCAGTCTTAAAAATTCTCTCTTGATTATCCTTTATGGAAGACTCCAACACTTTCTTACAATCACTTTCACTATATTTACCACTAATCTTTGACACTTGTCGTGAATGGGATAAATGCCTACTTTCAGAGGCACTCACTTCACTACATTTTGGAGCAGTTGGGTCCTTGCTGACAACCCTTGATTCTGACCCTATTCTAGAATTTTCATCATTGCTGATCTTAGCAGAAATAATTCCATGCCTGGCTAAAATAAAATGTTCTGAATCTTGATCAGAACATTTTCTGTTTCCCCTGGAAGTAAAATATATCTGTGAATTAGAAATAACATCATCACTAGCACCAATGTCATCATCAATATCATCATCATAATCTTCTTCCTCAACAACCACCCTTGCAAGTCTACTTCTGTGTAAACGTCTTTCATTCTCTGAGGTAGCATTAACAAGACTTTTATGAGAACAATTATGAGTACAAACTCTTGAGTAATCTTGCTTCAAAGCTAGTGAGTCACCACCATTTTCATGTAGCAGACATGTGGGGCATTTAGTGAGCTCAAAAGATGTTGGCTGCTGCAAACTGGCTTGCCTTCTCTGTAGAACCATACGAGATCGTGTGTCATACACTCTTGAGTTCTGAGGTAATGTTTGGCTTTCTACTATTTCTTGATCATTGTCATCCAGCTTACTGCTTCCTGATGAGCTGCTTTTCTGACATTCATTTCTACTACCATCTGCATTTGTGACAGACAACTCCTGTCTGGTGTTACAGCTGTTGTCACTGGCTGAGGAAGCTGCACTTGAAAGATTTTGATATGCAGTTTCTGAAGTGTCTGAAGTTAATATGTTGTTTGATGAACATGGCTTGTTTGTTGACGCTGTATTATTACTGAGATGCTCCAACTCAGCTCGCAATACATGGAGGAAATTTCCCGTGTTAAATACAACAGTCCCCTCACGTTTCATGCATATCATTGGCTCAAACTTGGGAAAAGGTGAAACAACATCAAATGAAGTGTGAAGTGTCAGACCATGTTTAAGGCAGCTGAATCGCACACAACTGTCCCAACTTGCTGCAAGATCTGTAGAATAAGATCAGAAAAAGTATTTTCAGCTATTACACATGGTTCACTAATACAGGGTTTAAGGTGAAGAACAATATAAATAATGAAAAAAAAAATACATTATATTACTATCAACATGGAATTGGCAATTAAACCAAGACTTAGAAGGTAAAGGTATTTTGGAAAGATGAGGCATGTGTATAACATTTTAGTCAGAAAACCTCATGAGAAGAGATGACTTAGGAGAACCAAACACACATGCGAGAATAACACGAAAATGAATCTTAAAGAAATAAGTTGTAAGAATGTAGACTGGATCCAAATGACCCAAGATCTGGTCATATGACAGGGTTTCATGGACATAGTAATGAACCTTTAGGCTCTGTAAGAAACAGGGGAATTTCTTGAAGATCTAAACAACTATCACAATTTTCTGAAAGATCATGGAATTAGTAAGTCATAGAAACACTGAAATAAAAACAGATATCTGTTATTTTCCACAGTGATCACATAATCAAAGTTAAGCTACAGGATTTCACAATAAAGCAGGCATTCCCAAGAAAAATATCTGGTCATGTTAAACTAGTTTTCAACAGATTATAAAACTCTCACATCTCTTTCATACAACTAATGGATACCAGGACAAACTGAGACATATTTTATTTTTGTTTCTGTTTAAATTAAAACTACATCCCTTATTTCCTACATTCCAGTTCTACCAGTTGCTTTATAGAATATTTAGAACAGGAAAACAGAACTCAACTTTCAAGGAACATTTACTTCTCTCTATAGACACTTCTTAATGACACAAACAACCAATGCACAGTGACAAAAATAAATGGGTTTCACGACTTCATTTATTCCTTTTAAATTAGGCAAGATAAAGACATCTAAATTTTATGTTTGGTGTTTATAATTTGGCAGATAATTCAATCAAAATCCACCATTTCTTAAAGCTGAGTGATTCAGCATTAGTGATTTGTAATGAACTGACTTTGGATCTTATGATCTCCTTGAAGTATTCTCTATTAATTAAATTTAGAAACAAATTAATCTGCAAACAGATGAATCTTGCTACCCAACTGCCTTAACCATTACCAGCAGATGTTTAAAATGTTTCTATGCAGTTCCATGTCTGTACATTTTATTTCAGCTTGGTTCTGTCAGTACTTTTTCACTATTTTCCTTTTTCAGTACACATTACAGTGCCATCCTAAGTGCTTCCCTTTAATAATACTGTACTGCTACTGTTACAAGTTTCTTTTTACATTGGCTCTTGTATTTTGCATAGTATGCAAAACTTTGTTATACTGACATATGTCTGTGCATAAAAGTTTATGTCCTCTTTTGAATGTCTTTACTTTTTAAAGACTTTTTATGTTTACTTTATACTTTTTCACACAAAACTTATATGCAACTAATGCCACTGTCATGTCTTCAAATCTGAAAATACACTTTTTTTAAAAAATAAATAAAACATTTTAGAAACTTTGATGTAATCTTGTGGCATTAGCCAAAATACAAATTTTAAAGAACAATATAAATGCAAGTACAGAAGATGCAGAATTAATATGTGAGTTATTATATTTAAATGTAAGTTTTATGTAACAATGCAAATGCAAATTTTGAAAAATCAGACTAGATAATTTTAAAATTGGACATAAACTTAGAAACATAATGCAAAACAAAGTTTTTACACATTCTGTAACATGTAACAAAGAGGCCTCCATAGTCTAGGAGTAACGTTCCCACCTCATGACTCAAGGTACGCAGGTTCAAACCCGGCGGAGGTCGTGGAATTTTTAAGGGCGGAAAAATTAAGGGAACAAGTCCTCCAGGAGGGACTTTATGCCGTGGGTCCCGTGTCGTAGATTTGCGGCACGTAAAAGAACCTCGTGTCTCTAGGAGGCCTCTGAGCTAAATTAGGCCAAAAGTTCCCGCCCAAATAGTTTCCAATGCCTCCGATAGATGGGGACGTATTAGGTACCACTGCCAGAGGAGGGATGACCTCGCTGACAGAAAGGGACTAATTATTAGATACCACTGCCAAGTAGAGGGTAGAAACCTTGCTGGCAGAAAGGGGCTAAGTATTAGGTACCACTGCCAGAGGAGGGACTACCTCGCTGACAGAAAGGGACTAACTATTAGATACCACTGCCAAGTAGAGGGTAGAAACCTTGCTGGCAGAAAGGGGCTGATAACGAGCACCAGTATCGGTAGGGGATGGAGACAGTAGAAATTAAAAGGGGGATGTACAATAGACTATCAGTCACGGTGCATGGGGAAACCCACCCCCTCAATACTGAATCACTGAACATGTAACAATCTGCATACAGTATAACTGATATGTAAAACTATTACACAAAGGAAGCAATGAGGATGACTTTATAAAGCCAAAATGCTTTTGCATACTGAAAAAGAAAAAACAGCAAAATATGTAAATTTAATGAAGTTGAAACAAAACATACAGCCACAATCAGCAGTTCACCAGTAAACAACATTTGACATATACGTTAGTAAACTCCTGGTTATCTGGTATCCAAGCATCCAATTTTCACTTTTCATTTCATTTATTCACCTTCCATAAATCTTGTCGAGAATATATTCTCATGCGGATGTGGAGATCATCCTAGTTACAGTCACAACTAAGAATTACAGTTGTCATCCAATAGCATACACATTTGTAATAAAATACTGATAAACATATACAATATAATAATTAAGTTAATTTTAGTTGTAAAAGTAATGGCATCAAGTCAAGGAGGATGAGGTGGGCAGGTCATGTAGCACGAATGGGGGAGACGAGGAATGCATATAGGCTATTGGTGGGAAAGCTAAAAGGAAAGAGACCACAGGGAACACCAAGGTGTAGGTGGGTGGACAATATTAGAATGGATCTTAAGAGAGATAGGATGGAATGGTATGGATTGGATAGATCTGGCTCAGGACAGGGACCAGTGGAGGGCTTTTGTGAACATGGTAATGAACCTTCATGTTCCATAAAATGCTGGGAAATTCTTCAGTAGCTGCAGAATTGGCGGCTCCTCCAGAAGGTCTCAGCTCCGTAAGTAAGTAAGTAAGTAAGTAAGTAAGTAAAAGTAATGGCAAACCTTATACAATTTGTACAGTTTATACAAGTCTATTAATTAAAAATTCAATAGTTAAAACACAATGTCATTAAGGAGTTTTGTATGACATACATTAATTATATAATAAATTGAAATAAAGACTAGTATATAGTGATATAGCCGGTCATGGTAGCCGAGCGGTCTAAGGCATGTACTGTCTTCGCTCACTTGGAAACCAGGATCCTGGGTTCAAATCCCACTCAGGGCATGGATGTTAAGATTGTTTGTGTGCGTTTTCCTGTATTTGTATAGAGGTAGAGGCCTTGCGACGAGCTGATCACCCGCCCAAGGAGTCATACCAAATGTGTAAGATCTAGAAAAACTGAAGTGAACGGAGTTCATGGAGGTAGGCCTAGGCACACTAGGGCTGTAGTGCCAGGGAAACAAAAAAATATATAGTGATATAAAGATTGTGAATACCTAAAATAAGCATCTAAAAACCAGAACACAGACTGACAATCTTGTCTTCTTTTAATTGTAAAACAAGACAGCTACTCGCATCTTAAAAAGATTTATAACAAAAATATTCCTGTAAAGAACAAGAAGAATGTAAATATAAAAATTGTTTTAATTGTACCTCAAAACTCTTAGTGTCACTTGATATATCCGTAATATGTTGTGGTAGATTATTATAGACCTTTGTTCCAAAACAATAAACTCCCTTTTGGTATTTACTCAAATTTACAAGAGGCTGATGGAGATTATTTTGCTGTCTGGTATTTATTCTATGAATCTCTGAATTTACTATGAATTTGTTTCTGTTTTTTATCACAAAGAGCATAAGAAATAGTATGTACTGAGATGCCAGAGGTAATTCTCATGCACTCAGCAAGAATATCTAAGAAAAATTTACCACATTTATGCTGTTTCAAAAGCAAAATTACAATGTGCAAAGGCCAACCTGCCATGCAGCACTGCCTTCCATCCTCCCTGACATCAGTGTCATTACACTACAGGCTAGCTGAATTTGCAGCTGTATTACAGTTTATATGAATCTTCACTCATCAATCCACCATGCTGCCTAGGTAGATTCCCACACAAGAACTAAAGGGAAAATGTGTTGTATCGAATTTGTATTTGGTTTCATCTCATGAAACCAGCAGATTCAAGTAACTACCATACACTAGTCTCCATACATGCCAGATAACCAGGAGTTTACTGTACATTGCACATAACTCTTGAAATGCAATGTGTGTCAGTACATTTTAAAGAATCTTAGAGAGTTTTAAAATCCATTTCTGAGCATATCTATAACTTTTTTACCTTCCTCCTCATATGAAGCTGCCACTTTGAGACAGTCCTGGCATTTATTCAAAGATGGCACGGTGGTGATTGTAAGGTATGAACGTTCAGGTGGCGATGTACTCCATGCACCAGTATGTTGACCATATGACTCTTGGCTAGAAGGGCACAAAGATCAGTCTTTACATGAACTGGTAACTTTTAGTACAGTGGGTAGACATTTTCAACTTCAATGAGACAGACTTCTGAATGCAATAATCATTTAAACAGCCAACTAGATAACAATGTGCTTTCTTAACAACTACATATTTGCTTTGAGGTTGATAGAGATGGTGGTTCATGTTAACATACAATGAAGTATATATTAGTAGGCCTTTTTGTTTATCAAACTGGATATGCCAACCTACAAAACTTCATTATTTGGTTATTTTATACAGCTGGATGGGCTATGGTAGTCAAGGCAAGGGTCTTCCTGACTACTTGGGCTGATCAGTTTCTGAAGGATTTTGCTCCATGGAGTTAGCAAACACAAAGATTCAAAGCAATCTTCCTTCCAGCATACACACATGTTTCAATTTATACTTTTCAGACATGAGTCCATAATTAGTTTCCCATTACCAACACCTTTTCAGAGACTCAGAGTCTGATCCAAACACGACTTTGTCTTGTTTTACTGTTACAAAAAAAAACGAAAATTTCAGAAAATTAAATTTAAAACTGGTGATATTTTTGTGTAGTGGTCCCATAATTCTGAGATCCTTTAAAACAGTTTATAAATATATTAAAATAAATTCATATTCATGAAGCAATCAAAAGTAGGTTAAGTTTGGGGAAATGCTTGCTACTATTCCATGTACGTGTTCTGTCTTTCTGTTTCCAACCAAAAAGTAAAGATGAAATTATACAAAACAAAACTATTTTATTTTATCTACTGTTTTGTATGGACATGAAAGTTGGTTTCACACTCTGCAGGAAGAACACAGATTAGAGGTATCTGAGAACAAAGTGCTAAGGAGAATATCAGGACCTAAGAGAAAGTAACAGGAGGTTGGAGAACATTCCATAATGAGGAGCTTCATAAGTCATACTCATCAACAAATATTATTAAAAGGATCAAATCAAGGAGGATGAGGTGGGTGGGGTATGTGGCAGACAAGGGAGTTAAGAAAAATGCATACAAAATTTTAGTTGCAAAACATGAAGGGAAGAGGCCACTTGGAATTGGTCTACTTAGACATAGATGGAAGGATTATGTAAAAGTGGATACTAATAACATTGGTTGTGAGAGTGTTGAATGGATTAACCTGTCTCAGGGCAGAGACCAGTGAAGGATCTTGCGAACATGGTTATGAACCTACAAATTCCATGAAAGGTTTACAGTTTGTTGACTAGCTGAGCAACTATTAGCTTCTCAAGGACACTGCTCTGTGAAATTACTTATGTTCATATTTCTTTGGGCTGAACTTCGACATAGTGCTTACTTCTGTTATTTACATACTCCTGTGAAACACAATAATACTGTGGCATGTAGAGCAGTTACTATGTGACGACTGCGAGATAGGCAAATATACCAGACCCATTTCTAGGCAATGGCTCAGTAAACATGTTCCAGCAGCAACAAATCAATGCAAAACAATATAGGTACTGTTGGAAACAGGGTGTTTCTACTTGGTCTGTGCCAAGGAGTTATAAGGAAGGCAACTAGTGTGACCAAGTCAGTTCTGTAAGGGAGTCTGTGAAGAAAGAGGTCTGAGCCTGAAGGCAGAGGAATAGCCATTGTTGGGGCCATTACCAGCAAACATCTAGTAACAGACTGAGAACACCAGACTGTGTGCTCTACTGAACTGTAAACTGTGGAAATAGCAATAGTGTTATAGTTATTTGCAGTTACGACCTGTAAGTGGTCAAGAAATCTAGTCACCAATCCAAACCCTGTATACAGTCACACATACTACGTGACAATATATTAATGACACCACAGAACTATATTATGGCCATCCACTACAAACATACCATTTTTTACTTCTCTGTGAATTTCTGGGCCTCATACATAGTAGCCTTACGAAAGACAAACTTAATTTTTTCCTGAAGGTGAGACTATATATATCTCTGCGTGCTTTAACTACCCAAAGAAATATTCTTTGTTACCTTGCATTATAAATTGGACATCTGACTTCCAGGTTAAATTCAATAATACAACACATCCCCAAGTAAGAGAAGGGGTGTATTCTTCATAATGTGGCCGTATCGCAAAATTCTATAATGTAAACCATATTTTTCCATTGATTTCCATGTTACAAGTGGATATGTTTCCCTTGAAATCTTTCATCCACCATCTGAAGTAACAGTAAGCACACAGAAACATGTTAAAAAACTGTAAAATGTGAACTTTAGCCACTAAAAAAATTGATACTTTGGGCTTTTTACTGATACTGTCTGCCTCACCCTGCAAATCGGTATCAAGTGACCGAAAGGGATCAAGAGTCGTTTGCTGGTTCTGATGCAACTCTTCCTTGTACAGCTTCTTCCAGCAGATTATGGCATCACTTAATGTTCTTGAAACTTTTAGGCTATGTCCACAGTTGGGGTCATTTTCACTAACAATTTGGGCAACATCTTCTACAGATACAGTTCAACAGATGATCTGTAGTAAACTGAAGTGGTGTTGGTAGTATTTCTATAACCTCTTCCTTGTCTTTAGTAGCTTGCTCTTGCCCAAACACAACAATAATAAATCTTCCTTCCACTTAACTTCTGCAAGAGATATCAGTAACTTGACAACATCACCTTCAACATCATTAAAACCAGTATCCTTTGCAAATGCAACAATATCTCGGAGAACTTCCTCTACTGGAAGAAGCCTTCAAGTAACATATAAACTCCGGCCTATGCTTTTCCAAACATCATTCATCATGGTTGACTCACTCATTTCATCCCATGACTTGGCCACTGCAGCCACAGTGTTGTATTTTTTATCCTCTCCATTAGCTGCTTTAAAGAACTGTTAAAAACTTCTAATAAGTAATATATTTTGAATTTGGCAGAAACACCTTCATCCATTTGCTTCGAGCAAGGCAGTCATGTTTTTTAGAGATGAAAAAGCTCACATATTATCTGCTGGGAAGTTCTTGAGTGGCTGACAATTGACAGCTTCTCAAGATGGGCTCAGCTCCATGAAGTAAGTTAACGCAGCAACAGTGCTACATGCCTAAAGTGTACTGCCCTTTCAGTATTCTTTTTGTCTCTTTGGCAATCACCTGAGATGGGTGTCACTGTCATCAGCACAGCTGGATCATGACCGGGTGACGCAATTGGAACAGAGGTGGTTTTCTAGTGTAATGAATATGCCACACACCCAGCAGTGTAGCACTTTAACTCTATTTTACTAATTGTAACAGCAATAATTTTCACACTGTACCAATCACTGAATTATACGAGGGTTGGAACTTTAATAGTGACAACACTGCTGTAGAGACGCCGTGCAACGGAACCAAATAATGTCGCTTATACCACACGTTAGTTACATACTTACCTTACCTCAGAGCAAATGGACTCTCCCTTCTCACATCACGCGCATGCGCAGTGACGAGAAGAACAGCTCCTCGTGTTAGCTGACGGTCTAATGTAGTGTTGTCACGATGTTTTCGAAACGGGAACAACGGAGTTGGATAAAGACTGAATGTGCCAGAGGCTGTACAGCATGAGAGTGTCATCAAGATCTTCAAGAGGCTTTCGGGAAATCTGTATTGCCTTACAGAACAGTGGCAAGGTGGGTACAAGCTTTCAACGAGGGACGCCAAAATGTGGCAGACATGCGTCAGCCAGGTCGTCCTAGTGTCAGTGAAGAAGAAGTGTATGCTCTTTCCACGTTACTGGAGAGTGATCGACGCCATACAATCCAGGAGCTGGCCCGAGAGACTGGATTAGCGCATACGACTGCTTCACATTCTGGAGGAATGCCTGGGCATGAGAAAAATTGCATCACGATGGGTTCCGCATGATTTGAGGGAAATGCAGAAATGGCTACAATACAACCTGCTCGTAACCACTTGGAGCGCTATGAGCGTGAATGAGAGGCTTTCTTATGCCGTATAATTACACTGGATGAAATATGGGCCAATCATATGAGCCACAAATGAAACGCCAACTGAACGAATGGCATCATTACGGGTCTCCAAGAACATCAAAAGTTCGTCAGAACCCCAGCAATGTGAAAGTTATGGTAATCCTCGTGTACGACTGTGATGGTGTTATCCTAATGCATACCGTTCCCCAACAGCAGACCATCAAAGCGCAGTATTACTGTTCATTTTTGGAACCCAACCTGCGACCAGCTTTGAGAAAGAAGCGGCGCCACTTTCTGCAGAACACATCCATCATTTTGCAAGACAATGGTCGGCCGCATGCAGCGCAAGCTGTGGCTGATTTGTTCGATCGATGGGGCTCGGAAGTACTGTACCATCCACAATACTCCCCAGACTTAAGCCTTTGTGACTTTGACTTGATTCCTAAGATGAAGGAACCACTTCATGGCATTTGCTTCAGAACTGTCCCAGAGATTCTTCAGGCAGTAGACCACTCCATTCGAACTATCAACACAACAGGTGCTGCTAAAGGTACCCTACGACTTCCACATCGGTGGCAATGGGTTGTACACAGTGCTGGTGACTACACTGAAGGACAGTAAAACTTTGAAACATGCATCTATTTGTATCAGTTGTAAATAAATAGTTGCCACTATTAAAGTTCCAACCCTCGTATAATCAAAGCAAACAAAACAAATAATTAATTTTCATTCCCCAGAGTAAGGAAATACTGTTAGTAAACACATAGGGCCGCACCATAGCTCAAGCGGTTAGTCGCTGGCTTCCCACTGCAGCTGCCTGGGTTTGATCCAGAGTGTGGTCATGTGGGATTTGTGGTGGACAAAGTGGCACTGGGGCAGGTTTTCTCCGAGTACTTCGGTTTCCCCTGCCAATCTTCATTCCACCAATTGCTCCACAATCATCCTCACCTATCATCTGGGGCTGGTACAATAGGCCAGAAGTGGCCGCAGTACAAGGGACTTAGTCCCACCCACTAGCAATAAAAAAAAAAAAAACAAATTTGAATTTTGTATCACAAATCATGACGCACAACAGGATGTAAACAATGAAGA